AGGGGATTTGGGTTTGAGGTAGATCTTGGATTGCTCTTAAATTCAAAAAGTGATCTCATGCTTAAAGAGGCTGGAGACCACTGATGAGACCCTGTGAATAAGTGACACTTCTCAAAAATTAAGAGGCATTAATTCACCCAAGAATAGCATTTATTTTCCTCTGAAAGTCCCAGTGGTGGCTCTGCCCCAACAACAGTAACTGTCTGAAAATAGAATGCAACAGACGGCTGCTCCTTCTAAAACATGAACAAAGCTCTTAGGGGCTGGGACAATCTGTTTATATGACTGTTCAGTGTCTTCTAACAATCAGATCCTGGATCCATGACTGGAGCTCCCAGGTGATACTATAACATAAATATAGGGAAGAATTGCTAACGGGTCTTTCCAGACCCACAAAGGACCAGTTCTGCAAACCCCATGCAGGCCGCTCATTCAGTGACTGGCAGCAGGACTCTGAAGCGCAAAAGGGTTGCACCAGTGGCTGTTTACAGGTTCATAGAATACTAGAACTGGAAGGGACCTCAAGAGGTCATCGAGTCCAGTCCCCTGTCCTCATGGCAGGATCGAGCACTGTCTAGATCATCCCTGATAGATCTATCTAACCTGCTCTTAAATATCTCCAGAGAGAGATTCCACAACTTCTCTAGGCAATTTATTCCAGTGTTTAACCACCCTGACAGTTAGGAAGTTTTTCCTAATATCCAACTTAAACCTCCCTTCCTGCAATTTAAGCCCACTGCTTCTTGTCTATCATCAGAGCCCAAGGAGAACAATTTTTCACCCTCCTCCTTATAACACACTTTTAGATACTTGAAAACTGCTATCATGTCCCTTCCCAGTCTTCTCTCTTCTAAATTAAACAAGCACAATTCTTTCAGTCTTCTCTCATAGCTCATGTTTTCTAGACCTTTAATCATTCTTGTTGCTCTTCTCTGGACCTTCTCCAATTTTTCCACATCTTTCTTGAAATGTGGTGCCCAGACCTGGACACAATACTCCAATTGGGGCCTAGACTTGTGGTCCACTATGACCCTAGATCCCTTTTTGCAGTACTCCTTCCTAGACAGTCACTTCCCATTCTGTATGTGTGAAACTGGTTGTTCCTTTCTAAGTGAAGTACTTTGTATTTGTCCGTATTAAACTTCATCCTATTTACTTCAGACCATTTCTCTAGTTTGTCCAGATCATTTTTAATTATGACCCTATCCTCCCAAGTAGTTGCAACCCCTCCCAGCTTGGTATCATCTGCAAACTTAATAAGTGTACTCTCTATGCCAATATCTAAATTGTTGTTGAAGATATTGAACAGAACTGGTCCCAAAACAGACCCCTGCAGAACCCCACTAGTTATGCCCTTCCAGCAGGATTGTGAGCTACTAATAACTACTCTCTGAGAATGGTTATCCAGCCAGTTATGCACCCACCTTATAATAGCCCCACCTAAGTTGTATTTGCCTAGTTTATTGATAAGGAGATTATGTGAGACTGTATCAATGCCTTAGCAAGGGAGGAGCAGCGCGCCAGTGGCCGGGAAATGTGGAAATGCAGTTTGTAGCCGTGGTTCCACACCTGCGCAAGCCTGGCCTAAAAGCAATCATATAGGTTTAGAAGTTAAAATTAAAATCCAAGTTAATAATTACTTAGAAAAGTTAGAGGTCAATTTAACTTCTGTGCCAGGAAAGATAATGGAGCAAGTAATTAAGGCATTCATCTGCAAACACCTGGAAGATAATAGGGTGATGGGTAACAGCCAGAATGGTTTTGAAATGAACAAATCATGTCAAACCATTCTGGCTGTTACCCATCACCCTATTATCTTCCAGGTGTTTGCAGATGAATGCCTTAATTACTTGCTCCATTATCTTTCCTGGCACAGAAGTTAAATTGACCTCTAACTTTTCTAAGTAATTATTAACTTGGATTTTAATTTTAACTTCTAAACCTATATGATTGCTTTTAGGCCAGGCTTGCGCAGGTGTGGAACCACGGCTACAAACTGCATTTCCACATTTCCCGGCCACTGGCGCGCTGCTCCTCCCTTGCAGGCTGCAAAACCGGTCTGAGGCTCGTATGGAGCCCACCACAAAGACCCAGAAGGGCTCGGCCAAGCCCCACGCGAGATCGAGCAGCACGGACGCTGCACCTGGCAGCCGGCCCTGCACAGCCCAGCGCCTCAGCAGCACCGTCGCTGGGGCTCCGGGGACACGGGGCTCGCCTCTCTACAGGCCGCACGGGCAAAGCTGCGGGGCTACTGCCCCTCCACCTCCTTACGCCTCGGCCAGCGGGCGCGCTACTCACCTGGAGCGGCTCAGCAAACTTTCCCGCCAGCCGCTGGGAGCGCAGTGCAAAGCCGCGGCGGGCCACCGGTGCCCGCG